TACCTACCTACATACATACATACATGCATACGTACATACGTACATACGTACATACGTACATACCTACATACCTACATACATACATACATACATACATACATACATACATACATACATACATACATACTTCATACATACATACTTACTTACATACATATACATACACATATATACGTGTATATATATATATATATGTATATGTATATGTGTAGAATATTGTATGTATACACACACGCATCGTATGTAAGTTCTTAGCCCATTCACTCCGGTAGCTGGAGCGATGTGCAGCACTGTCCCCGAACTGATCTTCCCCAAGCTTGGGCGATGTCCACGGCGAACTGCAGCTGTAGCTGGGTTTATGTGTGCCTGCACACTGCACCTGCCCAAGGTTTCCTATCACAACACGGCTTTGGGCGTCTATGTTGGGGCCCTATAGTACGTAAATACGTCTTCGGGGTGTATTGCAGTCTGGCTCCAGAAGGACTGCAAGGGGAAACGATCATTACCGTTTCAGACCCTATGTCGCCCAGACATTAGGGTTAAGGGTCTCCAACTCCCAAACTCTGTCTCTCTGCTTGTCTACCATGCTGTTGTCTACTTATATGCCAGTATACCCTATACCCTAAACCCGTTAACCCTAAATCCCTAAACCCTGAACCCTTTAACCCTAAACCCTGAACCCTACGAGCCAGACGCCCCAATAGCCCTAACCCTGTGCAGTCACGCAGTCTCGGCATTAGCCATGTTTATCTGCCAGACTTCCGACCGAACACCGGGGAGTTATAGGGTTTAGGGTTTAGGGGTTTAGGGTCTAGGGGTGTAGGGGTTTAAGGGTCTAGGGTTTAGGAGTTTTATTAACGGGTTAAGAGGTTTAGGAGTTTAGGGTTTAGGGGCTTGGGGGTTTAGGGGGCTTAGGGGCTTAGGGGTTTGGGGTTTAGGGTTTGGGTTAGTAAGTTTTCCTGGAGTGAAGTTTTGCGTGTGGGGACACTGCTCAGTTGTACGCTAAGCCCTATGAACACGAAACCCTGGAACTCTTTACCCTGAACCCTAGAAGACCCTAAATTAAAACCTATAAACCCTAATCTATCCCAGCGGGTCATGCCACTGGTGTACTAGATAGTAGTTCTCGTGTCCTTTTTGCGGAAGTCTGGTTTTCGCCGTATTCAGCGACAACCGGTGCCCAAAACAGCGGTGCGTCCATCGCTTTGCTCCTCAATCGAGGTGGATGTTGAAGCCAGCCCAAGAAGCCGGATAATGTAGGGGCCTCAATAATAACCTACACTATGTTTGGAGATTTCCTTATTCTCATTATAGTATAACGCACCCCAAGACCCTAGTCTAACTATTAGGGCCCCTTTATTTATCTCTCATTGCGTCGTGCACTGAGGACTGATCCTCGAGCATGTCCGGTATGTCCGGCACCGCCTTCAACCTTATGTAAGCTCTTAAAACCCTAAACCCTAAATCCTAATGTTCATGCTTGTTGAGGAACTTGGTTATCCACCACCAGTTTTCATGGCAGGTTCGCCGCAATTAATACCCTAAACCCCAAACCCTAAACCCTAAACCCCAAACGAAAACAGACTACCCAAGCCCTACAAAGTCTGTATACGCCCATCTGACCTTTCTGTTCGGGCTTGTGGCGATCATTGTCGGTGGAGATCAGGGTTTCTGCTTTAGAGCTCTAGGGTTCTAGGGTTCTAGGGTTTAGGGTTTAGGGCTTTAGGGGTTTAGGGTTTAGGGGTTTAACGGTTTATGGTTTAGGGGTTTACGGTTTAGGGTTTACGTAATTTAGGGTTTATCTAAGGGTTTAGGGTTTGGGGTTTATGTAAGGGTTTAGGGTTTAGGGTTCTTTATATAAGGGTCCTTAGGGTTTGGGGGGTTTCTCTCTTTCCATGGCTGAGTCTAGGTGGGTAGTTACCGTTATAGCCCTGTAGAAGCCCTATATACCCTAAACTCCCCGCCTGTAGTTTCCTCTAACTCTAAAGTCAACCCTAAACCCCTAAACCCCAAAACCCTAAACCCTAAACCCCGAACCCTAAACCCTAAACCCTAAACCCCAAGCCCTAAACCCTAAACCCAAAACTCCCCGCCTGTAGTTTCCTTTAACTGAGGTTGCAATCTTTGGGCGAGATCCCTCTGCTCCTCGTAGACGAGGCAGAAGTCGGTCCTTTAGTGTTTTAAGAGGTACATCCGAGTCGGAAGGGGGGTTTTAGGGCCTTGGGGTTTAGGGGTTTAGGGTTTAGGGTTTAGGGTTCAGGGTTTAGGGTTTAGGGTTTCAGGTTTAGGGGTTTAGGGTCTTAGGTTTTAGGGTTTAGAGTCTTAGGTTTTAAGCTGAGGGTTTAGGCTTTACCTTGTTTTGGGGATACCCTCTGAACCCGTTCCCCAATTCAGCAGTGGTTTAGTTTGTTTATATCGTTACGGTTTTAGAGCCTTGCATCTTCTTCTCTAAGGGCTTTAGGAGGGACCCTTAGTAGGGACCCTTGTAGGTTATTAGGGTTAATATGGAGACTACCTGGCTGTATAAGGGGTATATAAGAACTATAAGGGCCATACAATGGTTATTTAAGGTCATGGGATTAAGGGTCCCTATTCGGGGTCCCTCCTAATTAAGTCCTTATATCTTCTCAGGGTCATCATGGTGAGAAGATTCCCTAAACCCTAAACCCTAAACCCTAAACCCTAAACCCTAAACCCCTAAACCCCTAAACCCCTAAACCCCTAAACCCCTAAACCCCTAAACCCTAAACTTGCTGGGCAGATTCTTGGGCTGTCCCACAAGGCTGGGAAGACCCTGTGAACGGTTGCTGAGAACTTCGAGTACCGTCGCAAGAGGGCCACACTTCAGGCGTTCGGGGTTAAAGTGTGGAGGTGCAGGGTTTAGGGTGTAGGATTTAGGGTTTAGGGTGTAGGATTTAGGGTGTAGGGGTGCAGGACTTATATAGGGTGTAGGGTTGGTTCAGGCAGAACTATGCACTTCGCCCCATGATCTTCCAAGAGAGGACGGTTAAAGTAGCAACCCAGACCCCCAAAAGGATCTAAACAATAGATCCCCTAAGGGGGTTCCTACAAAGTACCCTGTAGTAGTTAGGGTCCCTAATTAGGGGATCTATTTTTGAGATCCTTTTGGGGGTCTGGCAAAGCTGCCTGAAGCTCACACCTTGCCCTACACCCTAAACCCCTAAATCCGAAACCGTGCTTCGCGGACTTCAACTGGAACAAACACACACAGATACAAACCTAGGGGGATAATCGGGGTGTCTCAGTTCAGGCAGACTAGGTTTTAGGGCCTAAGCCCTAAAACCACAAAGCCCTAAACCCCGCAACCCTCAACCCCAAACCCTACAACCCCAAAGCCCTAACATCGGAGGCGGCGCAGTGTGTGGAGCCCGGGCTTTTCGTGCCACTGAACTGGGGCTCCGTTGCCTTCGCGCTGGCCGCTTGGACCAAACTTCAGGGCAATCCATAGTCTGCGACCACGGGTTTAGGGTTTAGAGTTTAGAGTTTTAGGGTTTAGGGTTCAGGGTTTTGGGGTTTAGGATTTAGGGTAAAAGAGCTAAGTCTCAGCAGTTGATCACAATTGACCGTTTGGGGGGGTACTCAATATGGGCAGTAAAAAGCCGACAGGTCAACCATCGGCTACCCTAGTAAGCTGGAGAAGTAAGAACTCTATTGCATCAGCTTGAAATTATGCAGAAGCGCTGCTCAGATCTTAGCATCAATAAAATGTGCGCCTTTGTTAATGTAGAAACAGTCAAGAAGGCTTCGCAGCTGGTTTCTTGAGTTTCGTTTGCTCTTTGTAGCCATAGGCCCTAAAGTAGTTCCTTTTTGGGGGTTCATATGTAGAATCCTACAAGGTAACCCCAAAAGGAACTACTGTGGGGCCTATGGGTAGTCTTAGGGTTGGTAATGGGGTCTTACTTGGGTCTTTAGTTGCTGCCGAGGTCGGCTGTAAGGGAAGCAGAGGTGCGTCAGTCAACATTGAACACTCACTTCCGGTTATTTAGGGTTGAGGGGTTTAGGAGTTTAGGGTTTAGGAGTTTAGGGTTCAGGGGTTTAGGGGTTTAGGGTTTAGGTCTAGGGTTTAGAGTTTAGGCGTTTAGGGTTTAGAGGGCAGAAAAACATGAAACCTCGATGTTGAATTGGGGCAAAAGCCAACCTTCTGTAGCACGAGACCCAAGTCCAGGTAAAGCACACTTCCGGCATCTTAAACCCCGGAAATAGACGAAAAACACAAAACACCCCATTTAAGCCCTGTATGACCCTAAAACCCCTAAACCTTAAACCCTAAACCCTATAAACCCTGAATCAAACCTGTAGGTTGGCGATGAGAAGCAGCTCCCAGCCACGATCCTCTCGAAGAAAGCATCGCCAGCGGCTCAGCCTCGCATCCACACATGTCAGCAGCTCCGGGGAAGGAGCTGTAAGGAGCCCTTTATTTATTGCAGGCCTTATATTAGGGTTTAGGGTTTAGGCTAAACCCTAAACCCCAAAGACTACAGTTTTCTTCATCCTGATGTGTGGCCACATCTGGGAGTTTCGCAGACATCTGAGGCCCTAATTAGGGTTTCGGCTTGAGGCTTGTGTTTAGGGTTTAGGGCCCTAAGGTAGAACCTGTATGACAAGATCCCGATTGTGAGGACGCCCGAAGCGAATCCCTCAAACAACCCATATAACTCTCACAGGATTTCCTCCTCAGGGTTCTGACTTTTTACAGTATAACGTACCCCCTAAATCACTCATCCGGTTACTACGGCCCCGATACTGAATTGGGGCCTTTCGGTTTGGGTCGCTTCTCACGAGCTGTTGAACCAAGCTAGAGGCAGACCCTGCACTGAAAACTCAGTGAACGCTTTCAACCCCAGCAGCTTTGCTATGAGATAAGACAATGTCTACCTGTTAGGGTGTAGGGTTTAGGGTTTAGGGTTTAGGGATTGCCTGGTTTTGATTCGTTAGAAGCATTAGACAAACGCAATCATGGATGAATGCACGGTCAAAACTGCGGCACGAAGCTTTGATGTTTGAAGTTGTTGCAGTTCATGCGTCTGCAATAAACCCTAAACCCTAAAACCTTGTGAACCCTAAACCCTAAACCGCTCTGCACCAAGTTAAGAATTTATGCTTGCAAGGGTTCTAGAGTTCACGAAGGCTCCACTAAGGCTCTGATCTTTAGGAGTTCCCTTAACGTTCTACAAGGTGGGAGTTTCCGAAAATAGGGGACCCTAATATAGTACCCTATAAGGTAGGATCCTCTTTATCAGGACCCCCAAAGAAGAAAGAAGGTACCCCTTATTTTCGAAAATTCCCAGGTGCTCAAAGGGTCCGATGTAGCCGCTGATGTCACCTCGCACAACCAGATCTTCCGACGTTCCTCCTTTTGTAACCTGTATCAAGATCCTCGAACTTATGGTAGGATCATTCTTGGGCTTTAAGGAAAACCTGTCACTCACTTTACCTACAGTTTAGCAGCCATTACCCCATA